CATATAATTAAACAAACAGCCCGCACGCGCCCATTTAACGTTAAACAAACAAAACCCGCCCGCAGGTCCTACGCTGCACCGCGGCGGCGGTGCTGGTCCTCGCCATGGTCCATGCGACGGAGGCCCAAAGATTAAGATCAAGGTCACAACAACAGCAGCAGCGGCAGCAGCAGCAGCAGCAGCAGCAGCAGCAGCAACAGACGTGAGTAACGCTGCTCCAGTGACGACAAGATGTGGGCTTTCCCCGTGCAGCGCCGGTGCATGCTCAAGCGATTTCCTCGTGTTTCCCGCAGGTCAAGCAGCAGCAGCACTGCCTCCGGGGTGGACACGTCGTGCCCCGCGGCGCGCTCCCCGCGCTGCCAGGCCGTGCCGCCGGGAGGACGCCCTCATGGGATGCACTATAGGTTGTCTATTTTGTAGATGAAAAGGCCTATCTTGGCTTATCTCCGAGGTGGTTATCGCTAAAAACGGGAAGATGTGGCAAAACGCCCACCCAGAAAGTCCTATGAAGCAAGCTTTTCTTTACAATTTGTCTCGGCTATTATTCTAGGGAACTCAACTATGCACATTTTTGTGACAACTTTACAGGGCAACTTCTTGGGGAGCAAGGTTTCTCGAAAACTTTTCCGTTGTTTCCAGACAGCGCCTGGTCGGTAGGCAAGGTGTTGTTCTGAAGTGCAGCGCAATTTGGCGGGAGGCCTACCCTGGGCCCGGCAGGGGCTTGCCTCGGGCCGGGGCTCGGGCCGGGGCCTGCATGGCTGAAGAGGCGGCTCTGCGACGCGCCTGCAAAGTGCGGCCGCTCCTCTGTCAGCGGAGCACGGACGGCTGCATACTCGGTAGGCGGGAGTACGTCGTCCTCGGTTGCCAGGATCTTATCTGACTACGTTGCAAGTTCAGGGAACGAACTTTAATGCCTACAAATCTTTTCGTTGCCTCTCCCTTTAACTTTCAAGAAGACACAGGGTGCCCGTTGTGCCCCAAATGTTTCTTTTCCCCTACATGCATTTCGTCGTATTTTTCTGGCGCAATCGCGATTCGCTATTGTAGTTTAGGGGGCAACAACTCCGGGAATCGTGTGTACACCTATGGATGCGAATCATCAGGATAAAAATTAATCGAAACCAACAGAAATATCTGGTACAAAATAGTCGAAATAAGCGTTTTCTCCCACTGAAAAAGCGAAGGAATGAATATACGCGGACGGGAATCACTGGGAATCAAGAATTTCGGGAATCATGTGTACACTTCAAAATGTAGTTATTGCCGCCTCGATTGTAGTTAAGAAAATTAGATTAGATGCTTCTTTTTCTTTCCGCTCATTTCGGGGGAAAGAGAGACACAGGTAGGTGAGAATGATACAGCCAAAATACCCAGTAAATAGCATAGGGAACCTCGGTGGGGTAAAAACGAAACAGCGCAATTCTATTCTTTGGCCCATTTCCCCCACACTTGGTTTTCCATGTTATATGTCAATGTGTCTGGGTGTCTTTTTCTTCTCCACGCAAGTCTACCGTGAATCGGAAGAAGAGGGGATAAGTTCACTTCACACCATGACCTTTCAATCGTCTGTCTTTTTTGTAAAGTTAACTTATACTAAAAATTAAAAATGAACCTCCGAAGTTTCGGCAACTTCCGATGTGCCAGACGTATGTTACAGATCAATTAAAGGTCATGGAGATAAGTTGACTTATTGCAGAAGTAGTGTATATCATTCTTTCCCGCGCACTTCTCGTCACTCGTACTGACTGTAGAATCATACCAGGTGGCTGATTCACGCCGCGCACTTTCGAAGTTACACTGATCCGCACGGGCGAGTGGCCTATCGCCGGCGCCCAACGGCTCCATATGGCTCCGAGGCAACCCCATCGGTGTGGAGGGGGTCCAACCACCCCAGCCATGAGCACGTGGCCGGTAGCCGGCTGACTACAGCCTGAGTACGAGAGAGCCACCTGTTATTAACAACCGGCGGATAGAAAAAAGGGGGTGGGGGGGGGCGACGTACCGTCTCATTCCAGAATATAATGAATTCAACAGGGAAGGAAATAACCCAAACTACGACCTTGACATGCAAGCCTGTTGTTACAGGAAAACCAAACCGTAGTAGCCCGCTGGCCGGCTACCCACCGGTCGTCTCTCCGCAAAACCTCAGAGCATTCGAAACAAGTCCAGTCCGTGTTACCACCGACGTCCGACACGTCCACACGGTCGTGCCTCTCTAGCCGTGCCGAGTCTCTGCCCCCTGCGCCGGCTACCGCCCCATCCCGCCCTGTCAGTGTGTGCATCTCAAACGCGTGTCCAACTACGACAATGTCCAGGCTGGAGATCGCTCGCCTATGAGAGGGGCGAAGAGAGGAAACCGATCGTCAGCTGGTTGCCAGTCTGAGAGTCTCACTCCGTTCCCGTGCTATCATTACCCCTTATTCCCGGTAAAGGCACATTTCTGTCACCCCCTCCTTCGTTATTCCCCGGATCCGCCGGATCACCCGTCCCTCAGTCAGCCAGTGTGTCAATTGTCAAAGAGTGAAGGACAGATGGGAAAAATAAAGCAAATGGGATTTAGGGAGTAATCGGCGAGATATTTGGACAGCTTGTGTAAACTGACGTGAAGCGCGCTTTCGCTGGCGCGAATAAAGTATTAATTGCACTACAAGGTTGCGAGCGCCTTGTGGCGCGGCTGACGGCCCTGTCGGAAGAGATATAAGACAAGTGAACGGAAATGTTTCCTCGCTGATATCGGTGCTGGCAGTCGCATCAGTCAGCAGGATGGTCTCCTCTAGAACGGTGAGTCTTACAGAGAATCATTAACCTAATAATGAAGGAAACTATAGTTTCTGACTAACGATTTAATATTCATAAGGCGTTTTGCCTGCTATCGAAAAAAAAAAAGGATCGAGGAAATAATATGAACGTTTAAATCTGATACATTGAAAAACAAGCAAACATTTAAAAAAAATTAGCAGCCCAAATGTTTTTTAAAAAGTTTTTTTGCTGGGATATCGTTTAGCCCACTAAACTATCAATTTTAGACAGTCCTGAAGACTGTCTCTACCAGAGGGCAAAGTCCCCTCCCCCTCCTGCTCACTCTCTATGCACATAGCACAGAGCGGGCCTTTTAGTGTGCTGAAAGCCATTCAGCAAACTTATTAGCTTTTTCGCAAAGATATTAGCTATACAGTCACTCTATAAATTTTGGCCTAATTACGAATGAGTATTATTTTATGACGTGCTGTCTTTTATACTTGAAAATGCAGAGTTTCAAAATCTGACAGATTGTTAGACATTGGAGCGGGCAATGGAGAGTGACAACAGATTGCAGTTTTATTTTAATTTCGAATGTCTAAGCCTTGCGAAAAAATAAAGTGGAGCTAGGGGTTGGGGGGCTCTCCACGTATGTATGATTCTGAAAAACAAAAACACCTGTTGTATGAGTCAAAAGCCTGATAATTATCACCAGTCACGCCTCTACACTTGAGTGCAGAGATGCAGTCGTGTTTAGCAGAACCATCTGTATTTTCGCGGGTCTCAAACTTTCCGCAGTTTATTTAACTTGTTCACTGCACACACATTGATCACCTGGCCATGTGACGACATTCCCTGAGGCGCACACATTTCGCCCTCACCCTCGTTCTAGTAATCACGGCAGTCTCTTATGAGGTCGCATATAATTAAACAAACAGCCCGCACGCGCCCATTTAACGTTAAACAAACAAAACCCGCCCGCAGGTCCTACGCTGCACCGCGGCGGCGGTGCTGGTCCTCGCCATGGTCCATGCGACGGAGGCCCAAAGATTAAGATCAAGGTCACAACAACAGCAGCAGCGGCAGCAGCAGCAGCAGCAGCAGCAGCAGCAGCAACAGACGTGAGTAACGCTGCTCCAGTGACGACAAGATGTGGGCTTTCCCCGTGCAGCGCCGGTGCATGCTCAAGCGATTTCCTCGTGTTTCCCGCAGGTCAAGCAGCAGCAGCACTGCCTCCGGGGTGGACACGTCGTGCCCCGCGGCGCGCTCCCCGCGCTGCCAGGCCGTGCCGCCGCAGTACAGGCCGGTGGACGGCTCCTGCCACAAGGCGGACCGCGTCCTCGGCATGTCCGGCACGCCCTACACCAGGATCCGGAGGCCCAACTATGCCGACGGTGAGGGCAGCGGCCGCGTCGCGTCGTATGCCGCGTGCGTTGGCCCTGTCTGGTGACTCACCGTCTGATGATGACTCGATGCTTGACCCAGGCGTCCACGCGCCCAGAGCCGGCGTCACCCGCGCCGCCCTGCCCAGCCCGAGAGAGGTCGTGAACCGCCTGCACCCCGACGTGGACGTGCCGAACCCCGTGGTCAACCATTTCTTCATGAACTGGGGCCAGCTGGTGGCGCACGACATCACGCTGCTCGACACCAACTTCCCGGAGGGTAGGAGCGTAGTTCAACGGTGCTGCTACTCATGAGTTTTTCCTACTGTTGATTTTTTCCCCTGGGGGATAAGAATTTTTCAATGATTGGCACAAGATGCCAGTTTCGTATGATCAGCAAAATAGTAATGAGTAATGGTCTTCCCTATCCGGCCCACAGCCAACTCGGCGTGCTGCGCGCAGGCCGCCCGCGCCGCCAACCGCGCGACCGACTCGTGCGCCCGCATCGACATCCCCGCCAACGACCCCTTCTTCCGCCGCCACGGCGTCACCTGCCTCGGCGTGGAGCGGTCCGGGTCGCAGATCTGCGAGGCGCGCCACCACGAGCAGGTCGGTCGAAGGAGGAGGAGAAGACGCGCCGATTGGGCTGCCTAACTAGCGCGGCGCGCCGGCCGTGGAGCTGACTGATGATCGGGGCATGCGTCCTTTTCTTATTTTCTGAGCCTCTATAACAAAGACTCCAAAGTTTAACCTTTGGTCGTAGTTAATCGAAATTTAATGTGGAGTTCGCGCGTCTGTTCTCGAAACTCCACTCGTTCAGTCAATCGCGCATTTGAACGTCAGGTATCGCGCGTTCGTTTTCGTCAGCATCAAAAAGGCGAATTACCGGATCTCAGCGCCTGCAAGACTCGGGGTAGGCCAGCCCGCAGTACACGCATGCACTGTAGACAAAGTGTTGCCTACCTGCCAGGCGCCATAAGAGCTTGCATTGGCCCTAACTTGACCATTTCCCCGCGGTGAGCGACTTTCTGCACGACTCCGCATCCACGCCCACATTTTTTATCGAAGTCTTCCTCCGGTCGGCCTCTTCCAGAGAAACATGGTGACGCACTACATGGACGCCTCGCACGTGTACGGTTCGGACACGGCCAAGGCGCAGCGCCTGCGGGCGGGCCAGGGCGGGCGGCTGCGCGTGCGCACCATCAACGGCGAGGAGCACCTGCCCGCCGACGAGCAGGGCGACCTCTTTGCCGGTGACGTGCGCGTCGTGGTGACGGCCATGCTGTCCGCCGTGCACACTGTGCTGCTCCGCGAGCACAACCGCCTGGCGCGCGGCCTGGCCACGATCAACCCGCAGTGGGGCGACGAGCGGCTGTACCAGGAGGCGCGCCGCATCGTCATCGCGCAGTGGCAGCTCATCACCTACCGCGACTGGCTGCCCTGGCTCATCGGTAAGGTCAAAGGTCATCCAAATGATGTAAAGGGGCGTCGTTTTGGTCTTATTTGGCACATCCACGGACTGGGGGTCTTGGGGCCCGGGGGACCCCAAAAGATACCCTTTTTGCCTTCAAGGGGCCCCAAAAGATGCCTTTTTGCCTTTAAGGGGCCCAAAAAGATACCTTTTCGCCTGGGGCCCGGTCGGGGTTTCCCACCTAGCCCACCCACCCAGGCCAGTCCGTGGCTGATTTGGCATCATCCCGACGTAACGATGTAACACAACCTTTTTTTGTTTCGCGTGACACACTACCGACAGTTAACTCTCTGTTACCAAGCAAGGTTTAAGAGCCAAAACAGTCACGACACATTGGCTGGGATATGCCTGAATACGGCACTAGATTAGATTTCGACCGGAATGTGCTGTCAATGTTTAGTGCTGTGGTGTTTGCTGACCGACAGGCGCTGACGCGGTGAGCAGGAACAACCTGCGGCCGGCGCAGAGCGGCTACAGCCAGGCCTACAGCGCGCAGACCGACCCCAGGACCGCCAACGACTTCGCCGCCGCGGCCTTCCGCTCCTTCCACTCGCTCATCCAGAACAACATTTGGTGCGAATTGACATTGACTCCCGCGTTGACATTACTCGCCTTGGCGCCGCCGCCGCGCGTCCCTGGGAGCGGCGGTGGCGGCGGCGCCTGGCGCTGGGAGGAGCAGCTATAGCGTGATGTGTGTGTCGGGTGCCGACGTTTGACGTGTCGCTGCGTTGCGTGGATGGATACAGGTTCGGGCGCAGTGGCCGCCAGGGCGGCACCGTCGTGGACGTCCCCGCCGACATCGTCCTCCGGTCCGGCATGGTGCAGGCCGTGGTGGAGGGCATGCTGTACCAGCCCAGCCAGGAACAGGACCAGTTCATGGCCGACCAGGTCGGTATAATGACACGGTTATTAGCGCCGGAAACTGATGGCGTCCTCTACCTACATGCATTTCCTCTCCTTTACCTCCCCCCAGATTAAGAACCGCATGTTCGCCAACGGCAGAGCGTTCGGCGGCGATCTGATCGCCACGGACATCATGCGAGGCCGTGAGCACGGTCTTCCCAGCTACAACGATTACCGGCAGACGTGCGGACTACGCAGGGCTAGCAACTGGCAGGGATTCTCCGACCTCATCAGCCAGCGGGTACACCACTTTCACTGCTAAACTACAGTTCAAAATTTTTCAACCAATTTATATTCTTGAAAATTGCGCCTGTACCTACAGGTCGAACCTCCTGCTCCCCGGCAGTGTCATTGAACGCCTATGTTTATCATTCCTCTGACAGAACATCCAGATCCTTCAGTCTCTGTACGCCCACCCGGACGACGTGGACTACTACGTGGGCGGCCTTCTGGAGCGCCGCAGCGACACCTCCGCGACGGCCTCCATCACGTCCCCGGTGTTCCAGTGCATCGTCGTCGACCAGTTCCGTCGCTACAAGGAGGGCGACCCGTACTTCTTCGACTTGGCCGGCCCCGGACAGCGCTTCTCGCCAGGTTCGAAATATACCGCGTGTTTCCTTTCGAAACTTTTCAATGCACAAGACCAATTCGAGGAACTATACTTTGTATTTGAGCGCACTGCTCGGTTACTTTACAAACACATTCTTGGAGTCTCATTAGTGTTAAAACTCCAGCTGTTGCGATACTGTGCCGCATGCATGCGTGTGGGTGGGTTGCCTACATAGCCGGGCTGAACGCAGCCGCTTGGTAGCTAGCTAAGATTGCACCGGCAAAAAGGTTTCGCCGAACGATGTCACCAGCGCACTGGAATCAGCAGTTTCCAGCGAATGAGTTATATACTTGCCACTGACGCATTCTGGTGTTTGGTGTTGTCTCCGTAGCCCAACTCCAGGAGATCCGCAAGCAGACGGCGTCCAAGCTCATGTGCGACAACATCCCGGCCCTGAACGTCGTGCCGCGCAACGCCTTCTTGAAGATCGGAGTGCAAGGGTAAGCGTCACACATGCACACACCTAACCATGCCGTATCGACTTTGGGCATTTTTTTACTGCAAATTTTCTTCCATGTCTGTTCCAGAAACAGCAACGTGCAGTGCAGCCAGCTGCCCGGCCTGGACCTGACGCCCTGGAGGGAGGGCGGCTCCAGCACTCAGCAGCGAAGCCAGCAGCAGCAACAGCAACAACCCTGCGAGCAGGCGCAGCAGGCGTCGCGGCAGCAGCCACAGCAGCAGCGGAGGAGCTGGTGGGGCTAGGGCCCAACAAGTTCAATAAAGATAGTCTGCATTACTATGATATGTATTGTATTTAATTTCGCCAAAGTGTGCGTTACTGTTGAGCGTCCCGCCGATAGCCTACGTAAGTGATAGCAACTGCAATCAATGCAAGAGCAAGTGTATGTCAAAAAATTGCCTTAGAAATAAAATCACGTCTAGAGAAATATAAAACACACAAATCTGGCTGTGACCTTACATTCTAGCACTAATAAAAGAACAAGAATTAGTTCAATCTCGTTTGTTAGTTGGGCGGAGGGGGCGGCGCCGTTCCAGGAGTCGGGGCGGGGGCGGCGGCGGCGGCCAGTCGGCTGGTGACGGGGTAGCCGCTGACCACCCGGACACCCTCGATCTTGCACTCGCCGACGCCGCGCCTGATCTTGAAGAAGCCCTTGTCCCCCCAGCCGATGCCCCAGGTGTTGGCCGCCAGCCAGTAGGGCACCCCGTTCTCCGTCCCCCAGCCGATGAGCCGCACTGCGTGGGCGCCGGTGTGGACGCCCGCCACCTGCTGGTACACCCCTGCAGACACGTTTTCCATGACGCTCGTACACTTACACCGTGTTCCGCATCACGGCAAGAACAATGTCTGATTTTTTGAGGAAAAGGGAAAAACTTTAATTAATTCCCACAACTTGAGATAATCTAATTTTGAGAATGTCTTCTAAAATGAGGAAAATCCTCTCATTTTCTTCGAAGACTTCCCGAAAATCTGAGGAGTCTTTCTCAAATTATGGGAGTTCCTAAGTTTTCCCTTTTTCCAAAAAAGTATCAAACATTGTTTTTTACTGTGACCGACCGTGACTCTTTCCTAGCCCTATGCTTCGGCAAAGGAATTACTGACCCGTGGAGTAGCACTTAAAGTCCTCGTACACATCCAGGATGACGACGATGGGACCTCCCCGCATGATCTCGGCCTGCATGTTGACCGGGCGGTTGAAGGGCAGCAGGTGGTATCTGTCCCCTGAGCCAAACCGGACGAGAAGGACAAATCACACACAAAACCATTCGTCCGCCGTTCCCCCCCTCCCCCCTTTTCCATCATGATTCTCAAAAACTCTTCCTCCCTCACCAAATCGACGGTCGACATTGAACGCATGCGGGTACGGACGCTGGCACTCCTTGGGGCAGTCCATGCGCGAAGCCGGTACCAGGCAGTGAGGCCCCGACGGCGGCGTCGTGTAGGGCGCGCACCCCTGCAAAGACAAGTCGTCTGCTCGGGGACCGGGCTCCGGACTAAGAGGGCGGGCCGTAGACTTCAGATTGCCTGCACGGGGGTTTTTGTCAGGCATCATGCCTACTTTATAGGAGGCTGTCTAGAGACGACGCCCCCTCCTTTTCAAGCCCCCGTCCCCTTTCCCCTCGCTAGAAGGCAAGCCGGCCGCCCGCGTGCACGGCGGTACAGCATACACCCCGCGCCCGCGCCGCTCTCCTCACCACCGAGGAGTTGAAGGGCCCGCCCGAGACCACCCCGCGCGCCGCCCAGTAGTCGAACGCCTCCGCGGGGTCGCCGCCCTGGCAGCCCGAGCTGTTGGCCGCCGACTTGCTGCAGTGCAGCAGGTGCTCGGCCGAGTACTCGAAGTGCTCGTGGCCGTGGATGCACTGGCGGTCCGTCATCGCCATGGCCGAGGCGTAGGCCTGGGGGAACACACACCGCGCCCGTCAGCTCGTCGTCCTGGGGCACAGCCGTGACCTCCCCGGTACCCCCTCGCACCCAACACGAGCCGCAGCAGCCCTGGTTCACGATCTTGCTGATGGAGGGGCAGTGCGGCCAGGCGCGGCGAGCGTCGAACGACTCGGGGAGGTCGCGCTGCAGGACGGCGTCGCCGTCGTCGAACAGCCTGGCGTCCAGGCTCATCTTGACGGAGAACACGGGGTTCAGAATCACGCCCTCATAGTAAGGCGGCGGCCTGGCGATGCGAGCGTGCTGAGGTGCAGAGAAGAAACACACGCGTCAGTATCTTGCCGCGGGTACACCGACCCACCGGCTAAGAGGTAGGGTTGCCGAGGTGGCCCAGGTGACCGGGTAGGGTTGCCCAGATGCCAAGGCGACTAGGTTGGGTTGCCCAGATGCCAAGGCGACTAGGTAGGGTTGCCACGACCACAGCCATGGCCACGGCCACATCCTCGGCTACATCCACGGCCACTGCTCGACTCACCTGCCAGGGCTTTGGGGTGTCGGACAGGGTCGCGCAATTGAAGTCAGCGGCGGCGAGCAGGCGCAGCCAGGCGCCGCAGGTCGCAAAGAGGATGGCGGTGCAGGCGGCTGCAGACATGGCCGACCGTGCCGCCGCGGGGCCCCGCTCTCATCTGTCGGGAGCTGTCAATCAAAGCGCGGGATCCAATTTTTTTTTGACGGCAGGACCCGGAACCAAGCCAAAATAAATATATACAAGGAGGAGAAACGGCGCGCGGTCGGCTGCGGCTCCTGCTGCACACGGCGGCGGCATTCCTCGCGCGTATACGTACGGCGCCCTTCTTTACGTTCTCGGCCCGTCAAGGCCGGTGTCCAAGTCGCGGGCCGAGAGATTCCGGGTCATTCTGTATGCGACGGCTGCGGCGGGACGGGCCAGACTCAGACTGGCCAGCCCGGCCGGCAGGACCGGCGGGACACCGCGCCGCCCGCCCACACCCGCGATAACAGTAGTACAGTCTGCTCCGCAACGGTGTTCCCGCCCCCCTCCCTTAGTGTGGCTTAAATTACGGGTCCTGATTTATTTCCCACCCATCAGTACCTTTCCATTTAAGGTGGCAATCAACAACAACAACAACAACAACAACAACAACAACAACAACAACAACAACAACAACAACAACAACAACAACGACAACAACAGTATCCCGCTCCGTAAACACTGACCATACGTCAGAGACTTCCGAGAATTTGGCACACGGTTGTCCAGCCGCGCATGTGCCAGAGCGGACGCTGCACAGTGTTGTGGTTTCGCCTCCTCCCCTCCCGGACAGTAAGTAAGATGCCATTAGCCCCGTGAAGCCCGAGAGGGTAAGCGTTCCCACAACACGGCAGCAGCGTCCGCTCTGGTGGCTCTGATACACCCGGTACCGAGGGTGCCCCCCCCCCCTTTCGGAAGAGTCGAGGGGCTTAGCTCGGCCGGCTGCCGGGCGGGCGGTGCGAGGTGTGGGACTCGCCTTGACATTGGCACTCGCTCGCCTCACCTCGCCTTCCCACCAGCGGCTCCATACCAAGAGTCTGCCTCTGCCAGCCTGCCCGCCATGCGTTCCGCCACGCGGACCGCCGCAGCAGCAGCCGACGCGCGCATCCTCGGCCCGCTTCTGATCATCCTCTCTCTCACGCTGCAAGGTAAGGATGTGCACTTCAGCAGGGGGGTCAGTGGGGCGCGCGCCGCCCGGGCCCGATCCGAGGAAACATCGACGTCCGCCCCAGGAGTCTCCGGCCGCGGAGCAGGACGAGTTACCCTAGGGCGGGACGCTCGTCGTCCGCGTGTTGTTCACGTCGTGTCTCCTTCCTGTCGGTGGCATACAGGTGGAGTGTGGTCGCCCATACTTATGCTCGTAGCCATGAATCAGCCGTGGTTGTTGAGGTGTCGCAGTCAAAATCCAAAGTTGGCTAGCAGACAGGTTACTTGCCGGTTCCGGTTGCGGTTGCTTGTCACCTTGTCATCGTACATAAAGTGTGACCGTTTTTCTTGTATTCATTTTTCAGCGGGCTGGAACTCGGCGCCTGCGAAACTCGGGTAGGCCATCCCGCTGTACACGTATGCACTGCAGGCGAGATGTTGCCTGCCTACCAGGCGCTATGAGAGCTGTGCGCCGGCTTGCATGCATTTATAAGCTGAACTTGGCAGGTTCGTGACGGCAAATGGCGATCGTTCCTTCTAGGCGATACCCCCTCAAGGTAACCACCACAATGAACGTTTCCCGTGCACCGAAGCTAATCGCGCTAACGAAAGCGCCTGCGGCGCGCTGGATAGGCCGACCCGTCAGGCAGCCGTGAGGAGACGGCGGCCCGCCCTGAGCGCCGGGGCTCGGGCTCGGGCGACCACGCGTACGCCTAAGCTAACGCGCCCTCGCACCGCCTCGGAGAACGGTTATTGCGGGGGTAACTTGTATGAGGAGCGCACAGCCTGGCACAGCCCTCCGAGGAGTTTTTCGATTTAAAAAAAATCAGTGTACACCCTACGGAAAAAACAGGGGGGAAAAAAACAAATTAAAATCGAGGAAAAATTCCTTTTTAAATTCAGAAAAATCGGTGTACGCTTGAATTGATAGTGAAATACCCATCGCAGCACCCGGAGCCCGCGGCGCCTGCCCGGACATCATCCCCCGCCGTCGCTGGGGGGCGGCGTCCTCCGAGCGCGTGGACTACATCCCCTTCCCGGTGCGTGACGTGATCGTGGGCCACACGGTGGGCGGGAGCTGCGCCTCCGAGGAGGCGTGCGCCCAGGAGGCCGTCAGCATCCAGAAGCAGCACAAGGCCCTCGGCTGGGGCGACATCGGCTACGGGTGCGTAGTATGTGTAGCGCGCGGTGCGGGATTCGCGGCCCCATTTCCCCCCTATCGCACTTGCAGGGGAAAGCTCGGCCCGCAGCGTGGTCTTCCAGAAGCCACGTGACCCATTTTAATCCGCCCCCCTCCTCTCTGCGATGGTAGACCTTTCCTCCCCTACGTGGTTTAACATGTGAGACCCCTAATGAGCCCGAACTCACACTATGCCTCTCCGCCAGGTTCCTCATCGGCGGCGACGGCCTCATCTTTGAGGGCCAGGGCTGGCACAAGGAGGGCGCGCACACTTACGGCTACAACAAGAAGTCCATCGGCGTCGCTTTCATGGGTGACTTTTCAGGTGCGTCTCCCAGTCAATATAAGTGTTATCCCCGTTATCGCGCGTGGACGCATCTCTCCTGAACGACGCGTTGTTCTCCCAGAGCGGCGCGCGTCCACGGCGCAGCTGAAGGCGCTGCGGGCGCTGCTGCGCTGCGGCGTGGAGCTGGGCGAGCTCTCCGAGGACGTGCGTCTGTACGGCCAGCGGCAGGTGCAGCAGACCGAGAGCCCCGGCCGCGAGTTGTACAAGCAGATCAAGGAGCTCCCCGAGTGGGTGGCGGCGCCCTGAGCCTGAGGCGCTCGCTGAGGTGACGGCACCCTGAAGGCGCAGGGGATATCGTGTGTGTAAATTCAATGATTTGGAAAATTTTCTCTTATTTCTGGAAACACTTATATTTGTATGTCGTCTTTTCTATATTTTTACCCTTTTGCAACAGAATAGGAACAACAAAGTAAACATATCAAGTCGTTTTTCTCGTCATTTTTTTCTTCTTAAGTGCATTATCATAAGCACAAAGGACAATTTGATTAATGTTTGGCTATCTAGCCATCACAGCCATCGTAATAAGTTAGTGGGATGCGCGTCACATTGCGCGTTCCTCGAAACTCAAACCCAACTTGCGAGCAACAATAATTAATACCACTGCGGTCACGCGTCTGACGACGGGATCGTCCCGACCGAGCAGGACGACGCGTCGTCAGCACTGCAGCACCATCACCCCGTCCCGACCGTCGTTGCTCCGGATGGTGAACAGCCCGACGAGGTCCCTGTCACCAGCCTTCCTCAGCTCCTCCCGCAACGGCGCCGTTCTCCTGCGGTAGAAGGACCCCCGCGTCCTGCAACACAATAACCAGCACGGTGAGCAGGGGGCGCGGCCTCGGAGTCCGCGTGTGGCCGGTGATGCTCAGCCGGGACGGGGGACTCACCTCGGATCGGCGTAGACGCCGATGACGGCCTTGCTGCCACCCTCGCACTCGCCGCTTTGGAAGGCCTGCCAGGACGAGCAGTTCCGGAACACGTTGGCGCTGGGCCGCCTAAGCGAGTCGATGATCACGTCGTAGGCCAGGCAGTGCGAGCAGAGACCTGCGAACGGACGAATAGTTGAACACACGGCGTGTCGTGGACTCGCTCGGCTCGGGTGCTGCTGTTCCTCGCGGTTCCTCACCGATGGAGTCCCTGCCGCAGCCGGGCTGCGCGTGCATGCCGCCCTCGGGGAAGTAGTCCACGTGGCCGGTGGCGCCCGCGTAGCCCAGGTAGCCGCCGTCCGTGTGGATGACGTCGACGAAGGCCGCGTCCGAGGGGTCGAGCCGGTGGCCGGGGTCGCGGTTCTCGAAGAGCGGGCCGGCGGGGTCCAGAGCCGTGATCCTGCCCGCGCCCGCGGGGCCCAGCACCATGCTGCCGGCTGCACCCGCGATCTGCCCGCCCAGGCTGTGGCCGACGATGTGCACGTCGTCGAGGCTGAGGCCCTGGCCGGCCAGCAGCCGCACCATCTCGGCGACCTCGGTCGACACGCGGGGCACGGCCAGCTTCACGGCGGAGCTGTACTCGTGGGTGTCGGCGCCGGACCAGTCCACCGTGATGACGTTGCAGTCCTGGACGGCCAGGAAGGCTGCAACAGGAACAGGCGGGCTGTGGTGGGCAGCAGCTCGCGCAGGACCCTCTCAGTGCGCAAGGCCGCCCCGGACCCGCGCCACGCTTCGTCCACAAAGAGCATACATTGTGACCTGTTTCCCTTTCCTGCGCATCACAATAACTTACCATCCTTAAGGGCGTCCCCGCCAGAGCTGGGGCCCTGGTGCGACAGGAAGCCATGGATGATGAACTTGGTCGGCTTGCTCGGACTGAAGGTGGACTGCTCCACGGTCTCCCTCTTGCGTGCGTAGAGTCTGGTGGGGGTTGTCTGCTGGTCTCTGACGTCAGGAAAGAAAATGGAGGATCAAAACTTGACCGGAGCCTTAGGCAGGGTCAGTGACGCGCGTGCCGCGCATGTCGGAAGGACTTTTGTCGGGTGGGGCCTGGAAGCGAGCCTGGAGGCCGTACCTCGTGAACAAGTCGAACCGGACTGTCTCGGCGGCGCTGGCGCTGAAGGCTCGGAACGCCCTGACGAAGAACTTGCCCGCACCCTCGGCCAGGGAGACTACCGAGGAGGGGCGCAACATCCGCCAGGGACTCGCCGGCTTCGAGACGAGCCCCGCGGTGGACGGCGGCCTAGTCGTGAACTCGGTCGCCGTCGACAGGACCAGGTCGGCCGCCGGCGACGTCCTCGAAATGGAGCGCGACACCGTGATCGGCGAGGAGAGGAGGCTGTCCGCGAACACGGCCGTCGTCGGCGTCCCGGAGTCGTAGCCGGTGGAGTAGCCTCCGCTGGAGTATACTCCGGTGGAGTAGCCTTGTTCGGGCTTGTTGTAGGCTCTGGTGGAGAAGCCGACCGAAGAGTAGCCGGCCGAGGAGGAGCCGGCCGACGAGTAGCCTGCCGAGTAGCCCGACCACGCCGGCGGCGGGCTGAGCGAGGTGTGGGGCTCCACCAGGCCGCCGGGGTCTACCGCGGGACCGTACAGCGTGTTGAAGTAGCCGGCCGACCAGCCGCCGGCCGCCAGGTCTGCCGGGCCGGGGAGACCCGCGAGGACCGCGAGCATCGCGAGGACTGCGGCAGACGAACAACGGGTCAAGGAACAAGGACATGAACCCCTTTCTCTCCAACCCCCCAGTGCACAGTGCGTGACCAGCGCCCCTCTAGGCTGCGACACCGGGCGCTGGTTTGTCTCTTCGAGGGGCCTAAATGACGGCCGTGCTCGTGCATAACGAGCGCCTCGCTGCGGTCGAGAGAGGGCCGCCATTTCGCTCATTATTCGGGAAAGCGAGCGAGTATGCGCCACTAAACGACACGCCGTCACCCAATTTAGAAAAATTATGCTCTTTTAAAAAGACCAATCCGCACAACACATATTTTTTTTATGCAGCGGCGTTATGGACGGCCGTGTGTACTTGAGGATGAGAAAATAGTGGCTCTTTCACTCATCGCCAGGCTCACTTGCAGCGCCGCGGCCCAAGGCCCCGCGGCCCGCGGCCGCCTGCTGGTGGCCGATAGTAATAATAAAACTAACAACAACAATCATTCGACTTCTCAGAGCTGCCTGTTGTCCAGACCACGCCCGGAAGGCGGCAGGCCCTAACGGCCCTAACACTTTTTTTTCTAGCAGTGCAGCGGCGCGCGTTAAGGAGGGTCCAGGTCCCACGCCACGGCTGTTCTCATCCAGAGGCGCCAGTGTCGTGGAATCCGCCCAAAGTCGAAAGGTTCGCTCGGGAGGCCCGGAGGCGGAAGAGCGGCAGAGAGTGCGCGGGCCGACAGTGGGAAAGCAATCGGGACCGGAACCACGACCGAAATCTCAACACAAACGCGTGCAGATATTCATTAAAATGTAGAAGGAAGGGAAGTTCCCGATGACTTCTCTACAGAAGACAATACGGTTTTAGTTGTGAAAAGGGGTGAATTTTCGAACTGGTTCCGGTCTCATTGTTTTCCTGACCTCTTACTTAAACACGCTACAAGCTAGTATCACTCAACGGGTTAAATGCATAAAATGGTGATAAAGAGCGGATATGGCCTATAGCGTGTGGCTGCAGCGGCAGCAGCGCAGAAAGTTGACACGCGAACACAACTCGTCGAACTGCCTGTCCTATACGCCGTCACAGTTATAGAGCCTACTCTCACGGTTATGTCATCTTGGGGTATTTTTCTGCGAATTTATCGACCGGCTCTACATAATTGTGTCTATGTGTCTATACGAAGATTTCCGGCTCCAAACATTCCGCGCACGCATGTGGTGCTATGACAGTCTACTCACCGGAGGCGCGAGGAGCCCGCGAGAGGTCCATGCCGGTGCGGTCGGGTCCTCTGCTGCTACTGCTGCTGATGATGTTGCTGCGGCCTGCGCCCGGCGTCAGTCTGGGGACCGCAGAGGACGACAACGTGCTTCGTGAGCTGAGGATG